GAGGGGGGGGTCGTGCATGTGTGCGGGGCATTGGCAGTCCGTTGACTCTCTTCCATGTTCGTTTCGGGCAAAACGACTGGGCGTGTATCTCTCTACGCAAGACGGAGCAGCTTCCCTTGTCGGAAAACGTTGATGTGAAATATCAAATGAAAACCAAGTGGGACGCTCCTTTCTGGTTGTGAAGATGTGAATATCTGCCTCAGGCAGACGTAGATGGAGCTGTAATCTATTCCGAAAATTGACGTGATGATGATTAGTTTGACGCGTTCCTCACAAAAAACACGAATGATGAAACGAAGAGTGAACAGAAAGGTATTCGCAGAACCTCAAGAAACAAATATTTCTTGCTAAAAAAAACAACCTGAAACACCAACAACAACTTGACAGCACTGACTAATGATGGGTGGACAAAGCTTCTCACGCATTGAAACACCCACAGATTCGTCTCAATCGCTCGGCGTGACGGAGATAGGTATGAGGATTGGTGTGTGTGGAAGAAACACTACATTCAGCAGTGGCTGACGGGGTGCATGCAGGCTGGATGAAGACACGCACCACAAAACATAAAAGCTCTCTACCCAACACACGTAATGTCTCGTCCAATCAGCGTCGCGAATCTAAATTTTGATCGTGTAAGTACAACAGCACAGACAGGCCCCTAGTGCCGGTCACCACCTGCATCTGCAGCGTTGGGTCCTCGGGGAGGAGGAGGATAATGCACGAGAGAAGGGGCACCGTGCATGTGTTGGGGGGGGTCGTCCGTGTGTGCGGGGCATTGGCAGCCCGCAAGCTATTTTCCCTGTTCGTTTCGGGCAAAAAAACTGTGCGTGTATCTCTCTACGCAAGACAGGCCAGCTTCCCTTGTCGGAATGCTTCAGCGTACTCTAGCCGACACGGGCCGGGAGATGCCCCGCTATCCATTTTCGCTGCTATGAATGACTGCTGGGACGATTGCCTGGTGCGCGTGGTTAGTTGGGCACGAGCTTGAAGGGGAGACGGAGGCTAGGAGAGGTGTTGTAATGGATTTGTGGGCATAGTGGCAAGCCTTTCGAGGAAAATAAGACGGCAGCAACCCCGTTGAGTTGTCGAGCGCCGTGGCCGAATCACACGAAACCCCATACAACAAATCAAACTGTAGAGAAAAAAGAACCTGAAGCATGCAGGGGGGTTACTACCCCCACTACTTGCCTACAGGCGGCAGGTCTGGAGTATGGCCTCATAAGACAAAAGAGAAAGCAACACAAACACATACGAAAATGGGTTCCTCTCTCGAATCTGGTCAATCAACCCACCAACCAAGACGCTCGTACATTGCACATGAAACACGTGTCTCTTCTCATTCGCCCTCCCCCCCGACCGCGACTCCTGACTCTCACCTGAATCCATGAACGCGCAGAGCAAGTCCACGCTCAAGTGCCGAGTGTCCTCCACGCCCTTCCCCCCACGGGTATCTCCACTATTGCCGGGACCAGCACTGTCGGCAGCGGCGGCGGCGGCGGCGGCGGCGGCGGCGGCAGCCATCATCTCGGCCGCCTTTCTCTTTTTCTTGGCCTTTTTACCACCTCCCACCGCGCCGGCAGCAGCGTTCTCCACAGCAACGTCTCCGGCGGCGCCCGCGACAGGGGGCTCCGTGGAATGCGAAGAGGTGGCGGCGCCCCCTCTCTTGCGCGACACGAGCTTGACGAACGCCTTGTGGGAAAAGTTGAAAGCCCCCGCCAGTTCTTTCGCCGCAAGCCTGTTGTGCTTTGACGTGCGCAGCGCGGGGTTGGTGAGGCCGTAGTGAAACAAGACACGGAGGGATAATTGGCAGCAAGGCCGGGACAACTTCCCCTCTCGTGCATCGTCTCGACCGCCGTATTTCGCCGGGGCTGCTACAAGTGTGTTGCGCGGCATGTGTGATACGTATAGACACCGGGTGCAAACTCCATTCGGGGCACCGAAGATCAAGAGTTATCACAATGAAGGAGCCCCCCGCTCAACCCAATCGCAGCATCCTCCCCACTAACAAACTCGACATCTTTGTGAACCAGCAAATTCATACAAAGCGCCTCCCGAAATCAAACCGCCCATCGTGCAAATTCACGATGCTCGTTCCACATGATTTCCCGTGCCGAGTCAAATTCAAGAGCTCAGTGTGAGTTCTTTCTGCCCTAAAAGAACGCCCAAAACCATGCAGGAACACGAAGAAACAGCGGCAAAATAACACAAAACAATAAAATGACGCGCCTGTGAAAGCGTGCCACGCTCGTAAGCAGCCGGAGTGTTGCCGCTGCTACCTCTTCGCCGGTAAGCGCGCCAGCTTGGACCGCGCCAGCCTTGGTCTTCTTCTTCTTCGCCTTCTTGCTGCTGCCACAGCCGCCGCCGCTGGAGGATGCCGATCCGGCACTGGGATGGAGCTGAGCGTGGATCTCATCCATCTTGTCTCGAGTGAGCCTCCTGCGACAAGGGCGCGTGTGCGCGGGAATCGGTATGTACAAAGCAAGCGCTACACGGCGACTTGAGGGCTCGTCACTTGCGGACATCACCGCCAAACACAACGGTCGATTCCATCAAGAGTCATCGCTCGTTGCGTCATCGCTCGTGGCGTTGTCGTGTCAACACCCCTCACCGCCACCAACGGTACAGAAGACCCACCCTCACCAGCGCGAACACCACGGCTACTTCTGCTGTCACCAAAAGCACAACTTACAGCAACGTTCTACTGTAAGTGACACGGCGAAAGTAAACCACACCTATTGTCGCAGCTCGCGTACTCCCGCGTTGGAACCGTCTCGTCGAGGGCTTTCCGAATACGTATCGTCTGGTGTATGCGTCCTCTTCGTCGTGGAGTGAACGTGGTTCCAAGGGTTTGTGGTAGCTAATAACATTGGGACTGCTTCGCTGAGAGCGTTCCGAAAACGTATCGCTTGAACAACCCGGCCAAATTTTTCAGTTTTGTCACCAGCAGCTGCGAGGCAAGAGAGCGGTACACCAACACGCTCTCTCCGGGGGTGTGTAGTATCTAAAGTCACCTACGGTGTCCACCTTCCTCCCCGAGTGAACAGAAAGAATAGAGCCATTGCGTACCTGCACAGACCCAAGCCGGTCGCCTCGATAGCCTCCCCTCGGGCCACAGCCGATACAGCGCCCGTTACCGCCGAGCCCGCGGCCAGGTGTCGCAGCACGGCCGCGAGGCACTCAAGGACGGCTGCGAAGGAGTCCGTGTGGGCGGCGGCTAGAACGGGAGAGGACTGACAGCGTGGCCGGGAGTGTGCGCGGGAGGGGTTGGGCGTTAGGAAGGGGGGGGTTGGCGATGCGAAGGGGGTGTCGTGCCTACTGATGATAACGTTGGGGGTTAGGATACATTCGAAATATGTATCTACTGCGCCACTTTTTCTTCGCAAAGAAACAGTACAAACCAGATCTACCCTCGAGGAGCCCAAAACGCTCTTGGCGTGATGTGCGGAACCTTGGGGCTATACGTGCGAGGGTTTCCTGCGGTACTTGTCTGCTGTAACACGTTGATGAATCATGTTTGCACTGGGTATTGCTAATGAGACTCAAGCGCCTACACAGCAGAAAGCAAGTTGCGCCGCGTCGTACGGCAGACACCGCGGAGGATTGCTGACGACCTTGCGTTGATCCAAATCCCACAGGTGCAAGAGATCGTTCAGCTGAGGCGACCCGCGCAGGTACTCCCCCAGCAGCCCGGGTGCCTCGCCCTTCTCGGCGGCTTGGAGCAAGGCTTCTCTGTGCCGACCGCAACCGCTGGTGCCCCCTCCTTCTCCCCCACGGTGCCCCCCCCCCTTGGCATCTTCGACGTCGCTCCCGCTCCAGCTACCATCCCTACTGTCCACCTCCATCGCCGTGGCCCCTTCGCCCTGTTCTTCGTCGTTGGGGGGTGTCGGCGTCCCATCCACGCGCCCCCCCTCCTCGTCCTTCTCGGGGATCAGGCCGTGCTCCCGTCGTATCTGCCTCGAGAAGCGCCGCAGTCCCTTGAGCAGCACGCCCTCGCTGTCGCTATTCAGCACGACCTTCCGTCCCATTTCGTTTTGGTTGGGGGGTTAGGCGCGCGGTGCATGAGATGCGAGGGGGTTGACAGAAAAAAGTCGATGGGGTTGAGAACTGCGAGCAGATGTAATGCGAAACTACAGCAAGGTTCCTGCTCGAAAAATCAGCAAGTCACCTGCTCTAGAAGCCGTCACCATCGAAGAGCAGGCGTCGCTGCGAGAGTCTTTCAGACTCATGTGTGTTCACGAAGGGGTCGAGTGCCTTCGGTCGAGTGCACTAGTCTACTGCTGCAGAATAGTCAACCCACTGACGATTTGGAATTGAAACAAACATCCAAGCAAGGTGTCCCTTTAGTAGGTCCTCGAGCAGGAGCAAGAGTTGAATACGTGATGGTTCAATGGAGGCCAAACGGTGGACGACGCTGAGCGCTCGGGACTTGCCACGCAACTTTTGTGGGTTTTGCGGTGAAACTTCGCAATGAAACGGCGGAGCGAGCTAAACATGCGAAGCTAAACTAATCGATGTGCGTGCGTATTTCAACGAACCCTACGCCTACGCGCTATGCCTCCTATCTCGCCTGGGTTGTCCTACAGTGGTTCCTAGCAAGACGAAGAAATCTTTAGCCATGTTGCCCAGAGCAACAGGCAGGGGCATTCAGGAACAGATGCAAACAGCAGTGGCTGCCGTGTCTGCCGGTCCTTCGACCTCTGCACAAAGTGGGTGGTGGACGCTCCACACCTTCCACACCAGCTTGCCAAAGTACGGGGGTAAGAGAAGCAGCAACAACAATCTCACCGCCAAATCATCGAGGTCCATCTCAACCGGAGGCTTCATCGTTGGCTATCCGAGCAAGCCTCGCAGCCCAGCCAGATTCCGTGGTTGTTGTAAAAGGCGGTGCCGTGTTTGTGTTGCGGCAAATCTCCGGAAGAAATCTACGAAAAGCGTCCCTACGCCTCGACACTAATTTCCAGTATTTCTGGCGGGACTGTCACAGTCGTCCTCCCGCATGCGCGGGCACACCACGTCCCGCAGCTGCGGCAGCAGCGAAAAGGAGAGCTAAGGGTCAGCGTCAGACCAGCACGCAGCGTGGCAGAGGCCCGCCGATTTCCTCTCACGTCAACCCCTTCTCTTGCGCAGGAGGAAAATAACAAGAGTGGTGTGCTTGCAACAATATATGATGGCGGCCTCCAGCGTTACGGCTCGAGCACGCACGACAGCGGCTCCGTCGCTAGCTCTCCTCCTGCTGCTGCTGCTCGGGAGCGAGCGCTACACCCCCTCGTGCCTGGGCTTCTCCCTTTCCGTCGCACCAACATCGGCGGTACGATCGCCAGCAGCCCGACCGGTAACAGCACCCGTTGGACGCTATGGCAAGAGCAGCAGCAGCTGCCGCGTGGACGTGTCCTGTGTACGTGGCCGAACATGCTCGGCGCTTGCAGCGTTCGGCGAAGGGGAAGGGGAAGGGAGTTCCGCGGGGCCTAGTGCAGGAGGATCGGGAGACATTTTTGACGCCCTGATGGCTGGGGATATGGACTTCGTCACTAAGTATGTGGAGGCTGGGGGCGACTGCTCTGTGCAGGACTCCATAGGTGAGTGTGCAGAGGCGAGAGATAGAGGGAGAGAGTCCAACACAGATCGCACGTACAGCATCGTGTTTGCCTTACCTAGTTGTACACCAGCACGCGGCGATGGCAAAAGACAGGCAATCATCCTGTGCAACTGTGGCACGATGTACTCCGAGTACACAGCAAAAAGAGACCAGATCGGCCCAGCAGTGTTGCTTTATACCCCTGGATACAGCAATGGATACAACGGCGTAACCGCTGGCATTGGTGGCAACAAGATGGTGCGCACAGTGGTACGTCCGTCTCTCCGATATGTGTTCGGTCCTGTCCATACTTCTTGTTCGGTTTTCCAGGGGACACGCCGCTGATGCTAGCGGTGGAAAACGAGCTGACGCCTGCCGTGAGGATGCTCATCAAGGAAGGAGGGGCGAACGCCAACCTTGCCTCCAAGACTACGGGAGAGTAAGTAGAGGTGTGCGTCAAACCACTACAATCGGTACTTGTACTTGTGCGAGCCGCTCAGTGAACGTGTCGTGATACATCCGGTTAGGTGTTTGGCAGTGGAGGCGGCGTGTTAGAGCAAGAGGGTATCTCATTTTTCGGTTTCGACACCAAGTACGCCTCGGACAAGACGCAGGACGCGTGCGTGTCACGCTGTTTTTTCGGCTGTGTTTGTCTGACATGCTCGCACGCCGTAAGTTCATGTAGCGCCTCCATATGGTTCCTAGAAACGCAAGGACGTGAGGGGCTGTCGATTGTTTTGGTGATTGCGATAACGACAATGTTTGCGGTGACGCCGGCATGCGATTTCGTTGGGCGGGCAGCTTGCAGCGGTACACAATGCCAACCCGCCGTCCCGACGGCTGTTCCCGCCCCGGTCTCTTGCCACACACACCCGCGACACGCGTACCGACCAGGACACCTCTCATGCTGGCGGCATACTACGGACACACAAGTGAGGAGATATTGGATTCGAACAGACCACTGCCACACCTCTTGAGCCGGCTGTGGTACCAGCGCCACCGTACGCTCAGCTGTCGTCGCCCTTTGTCAACGCGGATGCTATGTAGCCTAAAAGTTGTGTCGTGCTAAGCCCTCAACGAAGCACGCAGGCCTCGCACCCACCTACGTCGGGAATCACAACAACACAGCGCTGCAAAGCTCGTTGTTTGTAAACGATATTCGACTTCGTAAGTCGCGAGGGAAGGGATTGCTGTACCCTTCTCGCGACAAAAATACCTCAGGCAGCAACCGCAGGAGGGGGTCCAGCCCCCCCCTCTTATGTGACCCCGGTTGGGTCGTCTAGCTGGTAGAAGTGGAGGATAGGGGCCAGAGGGGCAGACGACAGAGTGCAATGATGGGAGAAAAAAAAAAAATCCCTAGAACGCCGCGCTGTTATCGCATCGAGCGCTGTTTTCGCCTGGAGCAGAGAGTTTGGATGATCTCTCCTTTACCGCGCTGATCCAAGGTCTTCTCGGTCATATGGGTTCCCTCCTCTTTTCCAACCGTTGGCGGGAGTATGGCAACTCCGAGGAACGTAGACCTTGTACAAGTGTTCCGTGCCTTCTGACTTACCCATAACCCCTTCCCCTCCCCTCCATGAATGGTGGTCGAGTAGATTATGTTGTGCGGGGTCGAGAAGCCTCACCTCGCGCAATGGGGATGATCGCACCACGTTGTGTTAAAATGGTCAAGCACCCTCGAGGCAGTTACACAGTGCTTACAACTGTCTTTGGAAATGAAAGCACCAAAAAATAAATGAAGTCCTACGCAGCTGTCATCCGTACGCAAGGAAGTAAGCGCAAGATGCCGAACACCCTTAGCAAGATGCAGCGCACCCTTCATGCGACTCGCCGAACACCTCACGGAGCTTTGCGCTTGGTGATGTGAGAGCCTGGTCCGGTGAGAACCCGGCGTGCTCCGTCCCGGCTTTGTAGGGATGCGAGGTCAATGGTCTGACGACGACGGCATGCACGACTATGAGTACCCCCTCCCCCCCTCCTGTTCTCTAGTACGCGTTGTGTTCAATGGTCTTACTGCTAAGGCATGCAAAACATGAGTAC